TGGATGGATGGATGGATGGATGGATGGATGGATGGATGGATGGATGGATGGATGGATGGATGGATGGATTTTGATTGACTGACTGATTGGTTGATTGATTGATTATGTACCATCAAGTTGTTTTCAACTCCTAGCAACCACATAGATGGCTTCTAATAAAAGGGAATATCTGTAGCTCAGGGTTGAACTGTGGAGTCTTTGGTGTTCTCTGAGCTTGGTTGTTTTCTTGCAGACGTTTCATTACCCAACTAAGTAACATCTAACAGCACAGAAGATGTTACTAAGTCGGGTAACAAAATATCTGCAAGAAAACAACCAAGCTCAGAGAACACCAAGGACTCCACAGATGGCTTTTCTCCATGAAGATCTGTCTCCAGCATGGTCCTTCAGGTCTTCCAATGGTGCCCACCTACTCTAATGCTGGTTGTTCTCTTCTTCTCTTTCCTCCCACCTTTCCCAGCATTAGAGCCTTCTCCAGAGAGCTAGGTCATAGATAAATCAAAAAGAGCAAGCAACAAGGTGAACAGGGTGCTGTTTTAATGTTTTAAACTTTGTTAAACTCTGTTAAAACAATGTTTTAAACTTTGCCAGTTAACGTCATCCCCAGGATGGCTGACGGCACAGGAAGATAGGAACTGTATCCCATATAGCTGGGAGACATCAGTTTGCCTGCCCATTTACGCAGATTACACCACATCAAAATAATCCAACTTTCACTGTTTTGCTTTAGAGTCCACGTGCATGTTCTCTGCCACCTCAAGAGCCTACAAATCTTACTAGGCTTCCCATTCCTGTGGTGATGCTCTCTTTATGAATTGGACCTCTCTATATTTTTCGGTAGCTTACCTTTTTCTGTCATCATAATTCCATAGCCAACTTTATTTCTCTCTTTCAACATTTCTACCCTGCTGGAATTTAAAAAAAAGAAAAAATAAACATTCAGCAGCAGACATAGAATATAGCAGAACAATTTAAAACAGTTATGATAACATGTAAAATCAAGCCAGAACTTTAGAAATAACCATCATTAAAACAGCAATCAATCCAAAACCTCAAGGTCAAAACAATAAAAAGGAAAATTAAAGATAGACTTGTAAAATCAGAGGAAAGCTCCCCAAAACAACTGGCTCTTCAACAATTTCTAAAATATCAACAGAGAAGGGACTACCCAATGTTTCTCAACCTTAGCAACTTTAAGATGTATGGACTTCAACTCCCAGAATTCCCCAGCTGGCTGGGGGAATTCTGGGAGTTGAAGTCCATACATCTTAAAATGGCTAAAGTTGAGAAACATTAGACTCGCCTAATCTCCTGGAGGCTGTTCCACAGTTGATTAATCTGTCTACTTGGAGATTTGAATGCAAGTCCTAAACATCACAGCAGACTGAGAAGGTAGTTACAGAACATATTCAGGTTATGAACGATACTTTCAGCTAGTTTGCAAACCAGAGGCCTGAAGATTATTATGGCTTGTTTATTTTACAGTCTGTTTTTTCCCCTCTTCTTTAGTGGGGACAGGATCTCCAGAGCAAACACGAGAAGTACCTGGTGCGACACTGTGGTGAAATTCCTGTTTTTGTGTATAACTATCCCTATGACCTTAAGCCGTTCTACATGCGAGACAACGAAGATGGAGCTCGTCGGACTGTAAGAGCTTTTGATTAAAATACTTTGGTCCAGCTGCACATTTCCTCTTGGTTCTTGCTGTTTTCTTTAAACCTTTTTGGAATGAAATAAACTCTCTTCTAGGATGGAATTGGTTTGTGGTGGCTAGTACATACATTGCATTTTGGGGCAGCTTAATGTTGGGTAAGGTAGAAGAAGAGAATGACTGGCAGTAAGGCTGTCAGCCTTACCAGGTAGATCTGTGATGGAATGGTTTGATGAAGGCCGCGCTCGGGGAGATAAGCATTTCCTTAGCCCCC